TATAATTTCAAAGTATCCACTTTGGGAAAAAAACAAAAAAGAACTCAGGGATGGTCTAGGAAGAAAATTCTTGAATGAAAAAAAAAAAAAAAAAAAAAAGAACACAGGGAGCCTATTCTATTTCTGGACTATTCTAGACTGAACTGGTGTAGGACTAAAAAACAGATCAACTTTTCCCAAAATGATGAGGCCCTGTCTGAGAGGCCAACTCACAGCAGCTGCTGGAGTTTGGTGACCTTTCCTAGCTACAGTAGCACTTTCTCTTCCTGCCTTTTGTACCATTTCAGCAAAAATGTTGAAAAAGTCATATTTTCAGTTCTTTACATTGAAGACTGAGAAGAAATTCTTCCTCTAACTTGCAGGGTAAAGATTCTTCAACCCTTAACATTTTTCACTTGATCCCAGCTGTGGCCACACTGGACAGACCTTTATTATTATTATTTGTACAAATTTATGGGGTACGTGTGAAATTTTGCTACATATATATAATGTGTAGTGATCAAGTCAGGGTATTTAGGGTGTTGGTCACCTGAGTATTTTTGTTAAGTATAGTTACCCCGCTCTGGTATTAAATATTGAATTGATTCCTTCCATCTTACAATGTTTGTAACCTTTAGCCCACTTCTCTTCATCCTCCCTTCTCCTTCCCATAGACACACCTTCTTTTAGCATTGCTCTGGTCTGCCTAGAAAAGCAACAGGAGAAATATATAATCATTTCTACATATAGGAAGTAGAATAAGGTGAAGGCTAAAGTCCTCAGAGCTTGTCCTTCTCTTACTTTGTTGGCCACAATTTCAAATTCTCTTTACTGAAAACCTCTCATCTTTCTGTCCTTTAAATACTGGAATGCCCCAGGGCTCAATGGGTAGATGATCTCCAAAGATGGTGCTCACCAAGTCTTCCCCTCCCAGTGTGTACATGACACTCTATCCATGAAGAGGTAGAATCTATTTCCTCTCCCCTTTAATCAGGGCTTGTTGCATGACTTGCTTTGATCAACAGAATGCAGTTCCTGGTTAACTTTCCAGAGGTCTGATAGCATTTGCTTTTGCTTAGGGAAGCAGCCACCATGCCACAAGAAAGCTTGAGCTAGACTCCTGAATGAGGAAGAGAGAGAGGCCATATAGAGTACATCAAGACACCAGACATGTGAGTGAAAGCTTCTTTGGGTCTCTAGCCAGCTAAGAGCAGCAGAGTAGCCCAGCTGATGTCACATGGATTACACTGGAACAACAGAGGCTTGCTCAAATTCCTGACCCATAGGATTGTAAGAAATAGTAAAGTGATATTTTAAGCCATTATGTTTTAGGATGGTTTGTTACTCAGCAGCAAGTAACCAAAATACTCAGTCTTTGAACATCTTTTTCCTGCTTAAGTGATGCTAGCCAGTCCCATTATTAAACCAGTCTACATGCTGTTGACTCCAGCTCCAAACTCTCTCCAAGCCCCCAAACTCAAACATCCAACTTCTGTCACTTGGATTTAGAATTCAGGAAACGTACATCCAGCTTCTTTCCCCATGCCTCTACTGGATGACTAATAGGCATGTCAAAATATAAAGGACTTTTGAGCAACCCCTTAGGGGTCTAAGTCTTTGCCACCTTAGTTTCTTAGAGCAAAACTCTGGGAATCATCCAAGATTCCTCTTACTCTCACACCCATATCCAACCCTTCAGTAAATTCTGTTGGCTCTACTTCCAAAATATATCCAGAATCTGACCACTTCTAACTGTCCTGGTTGGTGGTCCGATCCACCATTCTTTCTTACTTGGGTTATTGCAACAGCTTCCTGACTAATTTCTCTGCCTCCACTCTGGCCTCCTTCCTCCCTACTTGGAGGGAGGTTGCAGTGAGCCAAGATTGCACCATTGCACTCCAGCCTGAGCAACAGAATGAAACTCCATCTCAAGAAATAAATAAATAGCTTAAGTCAAATAATATCACTTCTCTGCTCAAAATCCTCCAATTGCTTCCCATCTCAGTAAAATCCCAAACTCCCAATTTTTGCAAATCATACAGGTATAAGTGAATTGTTTTGAGAATATATAAAGAACTATTACAACTAGGCCAGGCGCGGTGGCTCATGCCTATAATCCCAGCACTTTGGGAGGCCAAGGTGGGCAGATCACTTGAGGTCAGGAGTTCAAGACCAGCCTGGCCAACATGGTGAAACCCCATATCTACTAAAAAATATAAAAAATTAGCTGGGCGTGGTGGTGGGTGCCTGTAATCCCAGCTACTCAGGAGGCTGAGGCAGGAGAATCGCTTGAACCCAGGAGGTGGAGGTTGCAGTGAGCCAAGATTACACCATTGCACTCCAGCTTGGGCAACAATAGCAAAACTCCATCTCAAAAAGAAGGAACTATTACAACTTAATAATAAAATGACAAATAACCTAATTAAAATATGGGGAAAGGATCTGGATAGACATTTCTTTTTATTTTGAGACGGAGTCTCGCTCTGTTGCCAGGCTGGAGTGCAGTGGTGCGATCTCAGCTCACTGCAATTTCCAACTCCCTGGTTCAAGCAATTCTGCCTCAGCCTCCCAAGTAGCTGGAATTACAGGCACATGCCACAACAGCCAGCTAACTTTTGAATTTTTAGTAGAGACAGAGTTTCACCGTGTTGGCCAGAATGGTCTCAATCTCTTGACCTTGTGATCTGCCCGCCTTGGCCTCCCAAAGTGCTGGGATCATAGGCGTGAGCCACTGGACCTGGCCCTGAATAGACATTTCTATAAATAAGATATATAAATAGCCAATAAGCACATTAAAAAGCTGCTCAACATCATTTGCCATGTGGGAAACACCAATCAAAACCACAATGAGATACGACTTCATATCCATGAAGATGGTTATAATAAAAAAGATAGATATGGACCTGGTGCAGGGGCTCACATCTGTAATCCCAGTACTTTAGGAGGCTGAGATGGAGGATCGCTTGAAGCCAGGAGTTTGAGAACAAAGCAAAATCCTATCTCTACAAAAATAAATAAATAAAAATTAGCTGAGTGGAGTGATATGCATCTACAACCCCAGTGCTTTGAGAGTCTGGAGGAGGAGGGGCGCTAAGGCCAGTAATTAAGGTTGCGGTGAGCTATGATTGCGCCACTCCACTCCAGCCTGGGCAACAGAGGAAGACCCTGTCTCTAAAAAATAAAATAAAATAAAATAAAATAAAAATAACCAGAATAGGCAAATCAGAGATAGAAAGTAGGTTGGTGGTTGCCTAGGGCTAGTGGTGAGGTGGGGAATTACAGCTAGGGGATAAGGGGTTTCTTTTGGGGGTTATGAAAAAGTTTTCTAATGAATTGTCGCGATCGTTGTACTATTCTGTGACTATACTAAAAGCCAATTGACTGTATACTTTAAATGGGTGAATTATATGGTGTGTGAACTATATCTCGATAAACTGTTAGCAAAAGAAATCCCAAGTCTTGTTGTGACCTACGAGGCCCTCCACCATGCGACTTCATCTCCCTCCACCCTTTTCCTTGCTCACTCTGCACTAGTCGCTCTGCCCTCCTTGATGCCCTATACCCACCAAACACACTTCTAGCTCAGAGGCAGGGCTGCAGCTTATGGTTAAGTAGTTTGTACACTGCATAAAAAGCTCCTGGCTGACAACTGCAAATCAGGCTCCTGATTTTTGAGACTAGGGCCTTGGGGCTGCACCCTCTCAGAGGGATTATCTTTCTTGAATTGGTACAAAGATGTAAGTGTTTGGCCATACCTGTGCTCAGGGCTTCCGCACATACTGTTCCTCCCTCTCTTCTACTCTTCCCCCACATATCCACATAACTCAATGCTCACATTGATTCAGTTATCTGCTCAAATGCCACAGAGAGGCCTTCTCTGATCATTCTGCGGCAGCATTCCCTGACACACCCTCGTTGTTCTCTATCTTCTCATTCTCTGCTATTTTACTTTCCTTTTTCCTTTTCTTCTCTTT